TCCAGATTTGGGCCTAGTGTCATATAAAAAAAAAAAAATTGGGCCAAAAAATAGGCCCCCTCCACGCTTGGGCCTGAGGCGGCGGCCGGCCCTGGCTATATTTTTTTTCCCAATATTATCGTGAAGTCATACATATCACTCTCTCATTGAATGGCCAAGCGTTTTTTACAATTTATTGAACTATATAAGTTAACAAGATTTAACTTCATTTTCTTTTTTATTATTGACATTTTTGTTATGCAGATAGATACTTATGAATGTCAAGATACAAGTCGTTTCAATATTTGTGAACATAAATGCGAGAACACATTGGGGAGTTTTTAGTGTGTTTGCCCGAAAGGTCATCATGGTGATGGGAAAAAAATGGAAAAGGTTGCATTTGCAGTGATCAACCACTCGAAAAATTAATTTCTGATGTGTAGTTGGTGTTCATTTGGGTGAATATAATGTAGGCTGAGGATGTTGGTATAGAGAATTAGTACAACTAATTTGTGGTCTTGTCTATAGTATTTGGGAAGAATCTGTAATGTTTGTTCACTACTATATCAGTAATGTCATTGTGATTGAAAATATGTTCCTGTTTCAAGTTCACCAACTTCCCGTGTTGATTCTAAATGAAAATGGGAGTTAAGCATAATTTCATAGAGCACATTCATGCATAGGAGCTGAAGCTACTGGTGTCACATATATAATGAAGGAGAGATACAAGATGCTTCCATTGTCACTTCATTAATAGTGTCTTGAGTAAATCAAAAATTGGAGCAAAAATTGACAACATAACCATAAATTGTAATACAAAATGATTCCATTTACTAATAATGTTGCTGCTTCCTTTGTTATACAAGATGCTTCCACTTTTGGTCATCCACATTCACATGTCTACGCCGCTTTGGTGAGGTAGATTTGGATAATAGTACAGCGTTGCGTTTCCTACCGCAAAATAATAAGCTGATTAAGGAAACTAGAAGATGAATTACATCATCCACCTCCTTCGAAATTTCCTTGCCTGCAGTAAAAAAAACCAATTGCAAGGTTAATTCCCTATTTCTCCATATTTGTCAAATTCTTAACACAATACGAACAAATTGATTACGTTGAATTGAAGCTTGTGTTCATTTTAACACCAGTAATATTTATATTAAGGTCGATGCCGAATGAATGACTAGAGAGATCCAAAGCACATGGACACATAGCAAAATTAACTAGTTAGTGCAACAAAATGACATAAACTTTGCAATTGGCAGCGTATGAGGGTTCTTTTCTACACCAGACAGAGCAGCTCCTAATCATAGAAACAAATAGCCAATTTAATTATAAGTACAACAAAACGACATGCGCTCAGAAACTGGTAGCGTATGTGTTTTCTTTTCAACTCCAAGTTTATGTTGACTCGATGACAAATTATTGACAGGCAAAATCCTTATCTCAACACATTTCAGCTTTTATCCCAGCTCTAGTGACAGGTTTAGGCTTTCCCCAAGTTCAGCTCAACACATTTAAGCTTTCCCCTAATTCAACTAATTTCAGTTTCGCAGAACAATTGGGTGAAATGTGGGTTGAACATTTTAGCTTTCCCCTAATTCAATTAATTTTAGTTTCACAGAGAAGTGAGTAAAAGAAGAGTCAACAAGATATTGATGAAGGGAAATACCTTTTTCCGCCATGTACTCGATTCAATGAAGCCGACGATAGCTTCAAGCCGGAAGGTCACTTCTTACCTAGGCGAATCTGTGAAGAAGTCGGAACACCAACCATTTTCCACTTCCAGCTCGTAATCAAATAAAGTGTTCGAACTCCACGCTTTCGGCGACTGACTCCGACGGTAGATCTCAACGCACGGTGACAAAAAAATCGCGGGATTCCATTTGCGTTTTCGTTTTCGTTTTCATTTTCATTTTCATCAGCCGCGCTTTCCCTTTCTTGTGAGATTCAATCCCGCGTTTCCTCGTTGAAGACCCGGCCCAACAATTTGAAGTGGAAAGTTTAGTTTTTAGTTTCTTTTCCTTTTTTTTTTTTA